TCGGGGAAAAAAAAAAAAGATTATTTACAATTAGATTAAATCGAATTTCCAAGATTAATATTTAATATAAATATATACAGAGAGATTGTCATTTAAATTTTGACAATGACACAAAATATCTTCAACATCAATCCTCTATAACATATTAATTTTTTATTGCAACAAAATGAAATTATTTTTGTGTCGATAAGATGAAATAAAATTAAACCAAAAAAAAAAAAATGGATATATATATATATATAAGTTGATGATTATGAAAATGACATTTGAGACATTAAAAGACAGACATATTTTATCGGGTGATATTTTAAACATTTTTAAATCATATTATAAATAAATATATTTACTTTTTCCATTTGTTATTATAGAAAAATAATTTTTAAATAATTCAAATTTAAATATCCAAATATTTCAAAATGAAAAATATATAATCTAGATCATCTTCATAATTATCAGCTCATATATATATAATATAATATATGTATGTGTATATATATGTATATGATATTAAAATTACATGAATAAAATATAGAGAGTTAACAACTACATCTTTTCAGTGATTCTAATAGAGATTAAACTGAGAGACAGCTTATGTATCAAACTTCCGTTCTTTTAAAATATCCTACACCTGGTACGGCAGTCCTTGAACAGAACATGTGTTAAAAGTCTCCCATATTTATCGTGTAGGTCAACGTAAATATTGCTCAACAGGCAAGCAAGCAAGCAAGCAAGTAAGCAAGCAAGCAAGCGAGAAAACTCGAGCCATACGAGTTCTTGCTGTCTCTTATACGTGGGTGTACGTTGGATTCAGCACGTAAGCATCTTAAAACCCTTCATGCCTTTACTTTTTCCTATTTTCGTACGAAGGACACGGATTTTGAATCGTCTTATAAGGACGTTGGAAATATGAAACCCCAGTTTTTAATGATTACAAACGAATAGAGATTACATATTCGAGATTTTCATTCGAACATATTCTTAAACAACATGATTCAAATTTATTGCGCTAAAAGTTTGCTTTTAGATGACGAATATGTTCGTAAATGCGTGAATCATATGCATGAATCGACTATGTATTATATATATATCTACGTATGCTACATATTTCAAAAAAGGAAAAAAAAAAAAAAAAAAAAAAAAAAAAAAAAAAAAAAAAAAATTTAGCGGAAAATTTCTTTTTGATCTATTATTTCTTTGTATACTCTAAATATATATATTGAGAATGTATGACGTATTTTATTTTTTATACCTTATATATATATATATATATATATCTTCAAGTTTTTTTTTTATATAATTCAATATGGCGTCTGAGAAGACATTAAGAAATCAATATACATAAATTTTTTTTCTTTAACGACCGATAAAGCGAATGTTTTCATTGTACATAAATATATACGAAATTACAAATGGAATTCGATAATTAAATAAGTGGAGTAGAAAAGAATGTGATTATGATTAAAAATGGCAAAGGATTTACCTTAATGTCCCAATCTTGATTTAGATAGTAAATCGCAGTGATGCATCGTCCATCCCGGTTAGGATTATCCACATGCTTCACGTAATGCGAACCGTGACCAGGGTAGCAAGCTACCATTGCCTGGAAAAAAAGGAAACAAAAGAAAAAAAGAACGTAAGAGAGAAGAAAGAAATGTTGTTGTGTTACATCGCAGAAAAGGTCAATAAAAAATCATAAGAGAGAGAGAGAGAGAGAGAGAGAGAGAGAGAGAGAGAGAGAAGACTTAGTCGTGTTATCGAGCAATGACCCACATAAATATAATTTTGAAAGTACGATGTACATTGTACATTCGTATCTTCATTTTGTTAACCCTTTATAACATCATGTATGTAACTTAAAAGATCTCGCAGTATATATATATATTTTTTTTTTAATTTACATGTTATTTTATTTTATTTTTTCGTCAGAAAAGTATCACAATTAGTTCATGCCCGGAAAATTAATTAATCTTTCCTAAGTATAAATTATATTTGGAGAGAGTATAGTATAATTATATTAATTATTTTAATTTTTAATAATGTTAATTATATTAATTTAAATTATATATTACAAGTTTCACATTATAGAGGATTAAAAATACAGAATTTCTAACTATAATCACAGTTTTGAAATTTCATTATCGTACTTTTACATCTGAAGAAGTGAAATTCTTTTTCTTTCGAGTTTTGAGTACTACTTATGGATGTCGTAATAGGAGTTAAATGTTAAGAAGCTACGTTATTATATTGGAACATGTGTGCGTTCGACAATGAGGAAAATTCGATAACAAAACATATCAAATGTTCCGGGTATTCCCGTAGTTTTCTATTATTCAGAAGTGACAGTAACAAAGTTTTCTTTAACCTCTATGATTTCTCTCCTAATTAATTATATAAACGACATTCCTATTTGCACGACATCTGTTTATATGATATTACTTTTTTTTTTTTTATAGTAACTAATCATTTGTACGAAACGAACAATAGATATACAAACAAAATA